CACCCACAGGCCACTCTCTACACACCCGGCCCAATGTGATCATAACCCTACACAGGTCAGACTTTCCTGCTGGTGTTTTGACCCACTCCTCTCCTCGCCCAATGTTCTCCAGCATGCATACTTGTCTTATTGTGTCTTCTGCTTGAGCCATCCACGATTTTCCCCCTTTTCAGCCTCTGACCCTTGCCTGCAGCCAAAAGCTTCATAAAGAGGGTGTTCCCTGTCTGCAGCTACTCTGAGGTATGACTTAGCCGGCAGCACCTTTAGCTATCTGAAATAGTCGGCAATGCAAAGATGTATTGCATACACACAATCGTGGTGTCTCTTGTACATCCCAGGAACAGCCGCATAGCTTCATTCTGTGTGCGCTCCAGTTTCTCTAGCTGACTCTTCAAGACAGTGAGTAACCCCAGTCCATATTCAATCACTGAGATTATAAAGTGCTAGTAAACAGCATTCTCTGCTCCATGTCCATCACTGCCGTAATCTTTGGTGTGTTTAGACATTTTTGAGCCCTTGTTATAACTCCACACGATGTGTGTATGCATTATATATTTCTTTTTAAATCCATAACATGCATTTTTGATAACAGGTATTAGTACTCTGAAAAATGAGTACTTAGAAGGGCCGAATGTCAGACGGGCCTGCGTGCCCAATTTGTAACCCTTTGAAAATAAAGTTTGTTTGTTCGTTCGTTCCATGTGAACCCTTAAAGACAAACTTATATTAAAGGTGATTCTTTTAATACATTGTTATCAAAATCGCTGCACACTGGGCATTCCCATGCCTGCTTGGTCCTCTAATGCAGCAGCCATTCCTGGGCACATCTATTCTACAAATGTAAAGCTAGTAGAGATGTAAGCTAGTGTCCAGAAATTATTCTTAGCCTGTGCCAGCTGTATGCTCCAGCTGTAGACTCCAGCAAAAGGTTCTGGTTGTTCGTGAAAAGGGTCTTTTATATTTGAATTAAAGTCAGACATGAATATCTTATGCAATTTCATAATTTTGACACCTGGTTTGATTCGGCTGCAAGCGATTTGGCAGCAGACGACTCCTCTGGCATAAATTTTGACATCAGTATGAGAGTAGATTATGGAAAGCAATGGCAAACTACTAAGCGTAAAATTGTCTTCTAAAACCAACAACAAATGCTGGTTTGTGATCTCATGATAAGGATATGTAACTTATTTAACTTTATGACCCCAAAAAAAAAAACAGCTGAATGTTCAAATGAACAGATTTTTTGTGAAAATACAAGAACTACAACTCTCGACATCTTTCTTCACATTGGAAACATTGTCTTTATAGTTTATAAAAAAAAAGAGTAATGAGGATGTCTTCAAAGAAAGTTCCTAACAAAGTGAACTGACTGTCCCCATCAGAAAGAGGCAATCTGCATTCTTAGGTCATGTGATGAGAAGGAGAAAACAGCAGGAAAGTTGGAGGGGAGGAGAGGCAGAGGGAAACCGAGAGAACAGATGCAGGACAGTTTGACATCATGGCATGGAGGATCATTTGTGTCAGAGTTGTCTGAAAGTACAGAAGGTTGTGGATATGACATGACTAATAATGCCACACTGCATGGACTTTAAGAATAACTATACTCTAGTGAAGTAAGTTGGCTAGAAGCTATCAAATACCGACAAAGTCTGGGTAATATTTCAAAATCACAGTATTCAGGACAAGCCCATATCAGCTCTGACTCCCTCCACAACAGCCAGTCAAGAGTCTCCATACTTGTTTGTATCTAATGATGTAGGTGTATTTACAGATGTGTGTATGTATGCATGTGTATATGTATATATGTATGCATGCGTGTGTAAATGTGTGGCTGTGGGTGTCTGTACATGTGATTGTATGTGTGTGTATGCATGTATGCATGTGTAGGTGTGTATGTATGGAATGAATGTGTGTGTGTGCATGTATGTGTGTGTGTGTGTTTTCTGTTTGTGCATTTATGTCTATGTATGGGTGTGTGTTTTCTGTTTGTGTATGTATGTAGATGCCTGTATGTATGTATTAGGTATATCTGTATATGAGTGCATGTATGAGAATGTAAGAGTATATATACGTGCATGTGAGTGTAAGATTGTGTACACATGATGTGTGTATGCACTATTAAATAATGCATATTTCTTTATTACATCCATAACATGCATTATTGATAACAGGCATTGGTACTCTGAAAAAGGAGTGCTTAGAAGGGCCGAATGTCAGACGGGCCTGAATGCCCAATTTGTAACCCTTCGAAAATAAAGTTTGTTCGTTCGTTCGTTCTTTCTTCTGTCAGAAAACTCATATCAGGAGGCAGGTAGCCTTTATGGAAACTATCGTGCAGTCCATATCCTCTCGTGTACCATGAAGTTTTATCTTCTTTGTGGTTGGAATAGGCCAGATTACATCTCTGTTGGCAGCATACAGTAGACAGTGCTAGAGCACATGCTCAGCATTTTTTGAGTGGCAAGTTGCAGGGACACGTCTCCGTGTTTCCTACACTGAAATGTTTGAACATATGTTGAAGAAGTCTGTTGTGCCCTGTTCTTAGTCTGAATATTATACACTGTGCATCTCTAGAGAGGCAATGAAGTGAATCATGAGGAGAGAATCGTGTATCCAGCCACCTTTCTTTGATACTAGATAGTATTAATGTCTTAGTCTTTTGGTAGGTTAAGTCACTATTTGGTTGTACCATGTCACTGCCGTTTCTAGCCAACCTGTCCGCTATTTCATAGCCTTCCAAGCCACAGTGACCTGGAATCCACTGTGTTACAGATTGTTCTAATGAAGAGCCTTGGCGAATCAGCGGTTGCATCAATTCTACAAACTGAGTTTCTTTGGAAATCAAAAATAGAAATATATTCCATTCTCTGTGGCCTTTATTTCACACCAGCCCCTCTGCAATTTTTATCAAGGAAAATTAATGCGAGCCAAGTCTGCCAAAATTTGTGGGCTTGAAAGAGTTAATACATCAACTTTTTTTTTTTTTTGGGATGAAATGTTTTGCCATTTTGTACATACAATACTGATATTCAAAATTTGAACCATGCAAATCATCATGTTTCTTTCTTCATTATTCGCTGAAAAATTGAACAAGGGACAAAACTTTCTGAATGCCCCTCGTAGTATTAAAGTGTCATCTACACCGAATCTGCAGCAGAGCTCCACTTTCCCATCTACACAGAATCTGCAGCAGAGCTCCACTTTCCCATCTACACCGAATCTGCAGCAGAGCTCCACTTTCCCATCTACACCGAATCTGCAGCAGAGCTCCACTTTCCCATCTACACCGAATCTGCAACAGAGCTCCACTTTCCCATCTACACCGAATCTGCAACAGAGCTCCACTTTCCCATCTACAACGAATCTGCAGCAGAGCTCCACTTTCCCATCTACAACGAATCTGCAACAGAGCTCCACTTTCCCATCTACACCGAATCTGCAACAGAGCTCCACTTTCCCATCTACAACGAATCTGCAGCAGAGCTCCACTTTCCCATCTACAACGAATCTGCAACAGAGCTCCACTTTCCCTGTTCAAGCTCCAAATATGAATTCATGAAATCAGACGAATGCTAGGAATAAAGCCAGTCTTACAGGTCATCAAAGAGCAACAAATGAAGTGGTTTGTACACCTAACAAGAATGCCCTGGTACTATCCGCCACAGCGAGCCACACTAAAACATTACAACGGGTATAGAGCGAGTGGAAGACCTCAGAAAAGATGGAGTAATGGCATTAAGAACAGCCTTACAGAAATGAACATCAGTCTTAATAGTGCTCTTGACAGAGCCCATCAACGAACATTACATCTCCCCCCGACACTTCGATGAGGTACAAGGTGGAAGAGAAGAAGAAGCAGCTCCAAAATCAGCAAAGCAAGACCTGTACTGACACTTGACATTTACTGACAGGCAGATAAAACCATGTCATCAGTGCATGTATGAACTATTTCGGGTTAGGCCTCGGTAGGTCATGTGTCCAAGTGACAAGAAAGTACAGTTCAAAACCAAACAATACATCATGATTCTCAAACCTAGGGCTTACAAACGCAGGTGTGGTTTGGATGTGAATGCTGAATGGGAGAGACATGGGAGGCCAAGAACCAGAGAACCAAAACTGACATGGTGACCCAGGGCCAGCTGGGAATACATCTGACAGTCTCTAACTGACAGGATTGGAATGGAACAAAGAAAACTGACAGAGGATTGGAATGGAACAAAGAAAACTGACAGAGGATTGGAATGGAACAAAGAAAACTGACAGAGGATTGGAATGGAACAAAGAAAACTCCTGACAGAGGATTGGAATGGAACAAAGAAAACTCCTGACAGAGGATTGGAATGGAACAAAGAAAACTCCTGACAGAGGATTGGAATAGAACAAAGAAAACTGACAGAGGATTGGAATGGAACAAAGAAAACTCCTGACAGAGGATTCGAATGGAACAATGAAAATTCCTGACAGAAGATTGGAATGGAACAAAGAAAACTCCTGACAGAGGATTGGAATGGAACAAAGAAAACTGACAGAGGCTTGGAATGGAACAAAGAAAACTCCTGACAGAGGATTGGAATGGAACAAAGAGAACTCCTGACAGAAGATTGGAATGAAACAAAGAAAACTGACAGAGGATTAGAATGGAACAAAGAAAACTCCTGACAGAGGAGTCCGGCGAACTCTTTAGCCCAACTCTAAACCCCAGAGTAGAAAAGGGTCAAGTCCTAAATAAAGTCAGTAAAAAGGTCATGTTTCCTACAGGAATCTTGTGTATCGCATTGTCTACAGACTCCACCCATTCTCCAAGGGTTGAGTTAGGTTGGCTCAAGAACCAACATCACAGCACTCAAGACATCCCCACAAGTGCTCTATCCCCAGCTTCAGCATCCAGCGCAGAGCTCTAATTCTGATCATTTCAGTAAAAGTATCATTGTATGTATACAATTGATTTACATATGTGATGATGATGATGAAACAACTGAAGCCTGAACTGGCAGGAGAAACTACAGCTGTTTCTTCTCCTGGTCACGGGCCTTGTCTGTGTCTACATCACTTTCAGAGCCTGATTCCTCGCAGTCACCTTCTTCTGAGCTGGTAGTTGTAGTCAGCGGTTGAGATGTCAGGCTAACAGGCAAGCGGTCTCCTTGCTCGACATGTCTGGCGCAGTTGTACAGATGTCTGCAGATTTAATAAAAGACAGAGAGAGTTACACAAACATGTTTGCAGAAAGTAAAGAGAGAGTAAAACAAACATGTTTGCAGATGTAAAGAGAGAGTAAAACAAATGTGTGTGTAGACATAAGGAGAGAGTAAAACATATGTGTTTGTAGACGTAAAGAGAGGAAAGTAAAACAAATGTGTTTGTAGAGGTAAAGAGAGAGTAAAACAAATGTGTTTGTAGAGGTAAAGAGAGAGTAAAACAAATGTGTTTGTAGAGGTAAAGAGAGAGTAAAACAAATGTGTTTGTAGAGGTAAAGAGAGAGTTACACAAACATGTTTGCAGATGTAAATAGAGAGTAAAACAAATGTGTGTGTAGACATAAAGAGAGAGTAAAACAAATGTGTTTGTAGATGTAAAAAGAGAGTAACACAAATGTGTTTGTAGATGTAAAGAGAGAGTATAACAAATGTGTTTGTAGACGTAAAGAGAGAGTAAAACAAATGTGTTAGCAGATGTAAAGAGAGAGTAAAACAAATGTGTTTGCAGATGTAAAAAGAGAGTAAAACAAATGTGTTTGTAGATGTAAAGAGAGAGTAACACAAATGTGTTTGTAGACGTAAAGAGAGAGTAAAACAAACGTATTTGTAGACGTAAGTAAGAAATTTAACATTCCTCAAACCAACCAATCAATTAACTAGTCAACCCTGCACTCAAACAACCAACAAACTATACAAACATGCTAATGACTAAAAGGGCTAACGATCCTTCTTTTCCGAGTTCACCGGCTGTGAACTCTGGCAGAAAGTTACAGTTGCTCGTTCATTTCAGTACTCTGACCTTTTTCCAGAACTTGAGTTTTGTGTTGACCTTTTTCCAGAACTTGAGTTTTGTGTGTACATCTGTTTTACAGTTCTAGCTAACCTGTATGCAGACTGCTGATTTCTCATCTCTCAGGCAGATGCACTCCAACTACGAATGGAACCACCTCTAATTAGTCAACTTTTACAACATTGTGGTTGGGGGGAGGAAAACAGTGATTTTTTTCCCCCCTTACAATGGGGCCCACGAACCCATATAGGAAATGCTTGATCCAATATGGTGGATAGGCAGCTCAAATGTTAAAAGTCTTGGTACATTACAAGGTCAGACAATTAAGTCATGAGACTAATTCCAAAAATATTAAAATAATCAACATTTGAAGACATAACCTGTATCTGATTCAAAGTAAGTCCCTTGTGCCCTGTTACAACAAGTGGCACGATCTATCAAACACTGGAATGACCTCTGTAGTTCTTCTGTTGTTATTGCCCTTAAAGTCGATGTTACGGCCCTTTGGATGTCATCAATATCGTTAAAGAAGCACCCTTTCAATGCTAACTTTAATTTTGGGAATAGAAAATAATCCCAGGGAGACAAATCTGGGGAACATGGTGAAAGTCAGTTGTATGGTGAAAGTCTGTTGTATGGTGAAAGTCTGTTGTATGGTGAAAGTCTGTTGTATGGTGAAAGTCTGTTGTATGGTGAAAGTCTGTTGTATGGTGAAAGTCTGTTGTATGGTGAAAGTCTGTTGTATGGTGAAAGTCTGTTGTATGGTGAAAGTCTGTTGTTTTTGGGCCAAAAACTCTTGTTCTGGTGATGTCTCTTGGGTACTGATATTTTTGGTCACAAGACAACGAATGTGTTACAAGCTGGCAAGCAACTGTTTTCTTGCCAAAATCTTGCACTAAAATATTATCAATGGTCTCTATTAACACCAGATTCATCTGCCATCATCCTCACGGCAAAATAATCATCTTCTTGTATCCGTTCTCTGACTTTTGAAATTGAGTTCATCATTACGAACATAAATTTGGCATCTAGGTCTAGGTGCATTAGTAATTGTGAATACCACCTGAAAATGTGTGCACGTGATAAACAATTATCCCCTTGTTGCATCAGTTTAACTGTTTCAATGGCGCCTTTTCTGACTTTTTGTTAGCTTTTTGCTCCGTGCTGGTTACATAACAATGCACCTCTGACCAAGTCAACACAATGACTGCTTGTTTGTTGTCTGCTTATCGAGCGGCGATGAAAAGTTGCCAGATCAGACGAATGTTGCCTCTTTAGATTCAATGCTTTGCTTCATAGATTACATTCTTGTCTTAGCCATATTAAAATCAATCTCATTACTTAATTGTCGGACCTTGTATTTGCTTCTGGTTATAGTTTACTCTTGCACTTTCCCCATTTGTGGACTAAAAGTTCCGTCACCCAACTACTGGGTAGAGTGCAGGGTGTGAAATTGAGCTGTAGATTTCATGTGGAATACTTTTCTACTGGTTTGTGCTATGAACTGCACATTCAGAAAACAATGGGTGGCCTGATGTCTCAGAAAGGTTGGTGCCTTGTGCAATTTTAAGTGTGTAACTGCTTCTTCCATTCATGATGAACTGTAATTCTAATGGCAGACTGTTTGTGTTGGCACTTCTAGCAGCTGCCTTATGCATTTACTGCATGTGTGCTGTTGACTTTGCTGGGACTACTGTCTGTTACAATTTGCTTTACAAAGGACAATATTAGGCATTCTATGTGGATTCTGTTGGGACAGAACACAGCAATTATACGGTTACCCGACCACCTTGAAGTTTGAACTGCAACTAACTGACACCTAAACAACAAACCAAAACAGTATTTACTACTAAAAGAAAAAAGGGAAAAATAGAAACACATAGCTACTGAAAGAAACATAATTTTGATATTCAAAATCTTTGTAAGGAGTGAAACTGTTCAAATAGCACATAAAAATACCTGAGGGTTAAAACAAAAGCAACTGACATTTCTTTTGCATCTGGCTCATCAATAGGTTTTAGGCTCTATCTTCAACCAATGACAATACGCCATCAGTATAGTTGATCCAAACAAAACCCAACCCACAGTGACCAACCATCCATCCATGCACACAAACTGAATAACCATCCATTCACGCACACAAACTGACCAACCATCCATCCACCCAAACAAACTGAACAACCATCCACCCACACAAACTAAACAACCATCCATTTACCCACACAAACCAAACAACCATCCATTTACCCACACAAACCAAACAACCATAAATCCATCCACCCACACAAACCAAACAACCATCCATCCACCCAAACAAACTGAACAACCATCCATCCACCCACACAAACCAAACAACCATCCATTTACCCACACAAACCAAACAACCATCCATTTACCTACACAAACCAAACAACCATCCATCCACCCACACAAACTAAACAACCATCCATTCACCTACACAAACCAAACAACCATCCATCCACCCACACAAACTAAACAACCATCCATTTACCCACACAAACCAAACAACCATCCATTTACCCACACAAACCAAACAACCATCCATTTACCCACACAAACTAAACAACCATCCATTTACCCACACAAACCAAACAACCATCCATTTACCCACACAAACTGAATAACCATCCATTTACCCACACAAACTGAATAACCATCCATTTACCCACACAAACCAAACAACCATCCATTTACCCACACAAACTAAACAACCATCCATTCACCCACACAAACCAAACAACCATCCATTTACCCACACAAACCAAACAACCATCCATCCACCCACACAAACCAAACAACCATCCATCCACCCACACAAACCAAACAACCATAAATCCATCCACCCACACAAACCAAACAACCATAAATCCATCCACCCACACAAACCAAACAACCATCCATTTACCCACACAAACTAAACAACCATCCATTTACCCACACAAACTAAACAACCATCCATCCACCCACACAAACTAAACAACCATCCATCCACCCACACAAACCAAACAACCATAAATCCATTCACCCACACAAACTGAACAACCATCCATCCACCCACACAAACCAAACAACCATCCATTCACCCACACAAACCAAACAACCATCCAGCCACCACACAAACCAAACAACCATCCATCCACCCAAACAAACTGAACAACCATCCATCCACCCACACAAACTAAACAACCATCCATTTACCCACACAAACCAAACAACCATCCATATACCCACACAAACTGAATAACCATCCATTTACCCACACAAACTGAATAACCATCCATTTACCCACACAAACCAAACAACCATCCATTTACCCACACAAACTAAACAACCATTCATTCACCCACACAAACCAAACAACCATCCATTTACTCACACAAACCAAACAACCATCCATCCACCCACACAAACCAAACAACCATCCATCCACCCACACAAACCAAACAACCATAAATCCATCCACCCACACAAACCAAACAACCATCCATCCACCCACACAAACTAAACAACCACCCATTTACCCACACAAACTAAACAACCATCCATTTACCCACACAAACTAAACAACCATCCATTCACCCACACAAACTGAACAACCATCCATTCACCCACACAAACTGAACAACCATCCATTCACCCACACAAACTGAATAACCACCCATTCACCCACACAAACTAAACAACCATCCATCCATCCACCCACACAAACTGAACAACCATCCATTTACCCACACAAACTGAACAACCATCCATCCACCCACACAAACTGAAACCATCCATTCACCCACACAAACCAAACAACCATCCATTCACCCACATAAACCAAACAACCATCCATCCACCCACACAAACCAAACAATCATCCATTCACCCACACAAACTAAACAACCATCCATTCACCCACACAAACTAAACAACCATCCATTCACCCACACAAACTGAACAACCATCCATTCACCCACACAAACCAAACAACCATCCATCCACCCACACAAACTGAACAACCATCCATCCACCCACACAAACTAAACAACCATCCATTTACCCACACAAACCAAACAACCATCCATTTACCCACACAAACTGAACAACCATCCATTCACCCACACAAACCAAACAACCATCCATCTACCCATTCACGCACAAAAAAGTCCACAAACTTGCCACTTACTTCTCAAACTTTCCCTTAGTTATGACCACATGCTGCATCTCCCCACACGGCAAACACATGTGAAGGTGCACATGTCTCTGAGCTTTGATTGGATGCAAGACTCGTGGCCACTCAGTCTCTGCCAGAGAATACATTCTACATCAGTTAGTCAGTCACTCAGTCTCTGCCAGAGAATACATTCTACATCAGTTAGTCAGTGAGTTCACTAGTCAGTGAGTTCACTAGTCAGTTATTTAGCTAGTTAATCAGTTAGTCAGCCAGTTAGTTCATTAGTCAGTTACTTAGCTAGTCAGTTAGTGAGTGAGTTAGTTAGTCAGTGAGTCAGTCAGCCAGTTAGTTCATTAGTCAGTTAGTTAGTGAGTGAGTTAGTCAGCCAGTTAGTTCATTAGTCAGTTAGTGAGTGAGTTAGTCAGTGAGTCAGTCAGCCAGTTAGTTCATTAGTCAGTTACTTAGCTAGTCAGTTAGTTAGTGAGTGAGTGAGTTAGTTAGTCAGCCAGTTAGTTCATTAGTCAGTTGCTTAGCTAGTCATTTAGTGAGTGAGTTAGTTAGTCAGTTACTTAGCTAGTCAGTTAGTTAGTGAGTGAGTTAGTTAGTCAGCCAGTTAGTTCATTAGTCAGTTACTTAGCTAGCTAGTTAGTCAGTTAGTCAGTCGACAGATTATCCTCATTGTAAACTGAACCATTCAGTCCCCTCCTCAGTAAATCATCCAGTGTGTGGCAGCTGAAGACATCAGTCCTGTCTTGGTTTCTTATTCTAGTTTAGAGATTACACGTCAGGCGGCACTTGAGACAGAATCACAGGAACAGAATCATGTTTGTGTTGTAAATGAAACATTAGCAGAATTGTATTATTATGGTTTCTTCTTTAGCTTTCACCGGCTGTAAACTCTAGCAGAAAGTCCTGGTTGTTTGTTTACTTTTGACTGACTGACTTTCTACCCCACCAGGACATCACACAAGCGATAAACACCCGATGACACAAAGTGCCACCATGTGGGTGAGGATCACCGTGGAGAGGTCCCAGAAACCGCATTTAGCCTTTAGGCCATATTTGTGGCCAAGCTATTTTGCGGCCCCTGGGAAGAGCCAGAGTAGGGCTTCAAATAACGAGAAATTTCATCCTAAAAAGGACAGGAAGTCTTTTATATAATTTTACTTCTGCACTCTGGTCTTTTTCCAGAACTTGAGTTCTGTGTGCACATCTGTATCACAAATCTAGTATATCTGTAGGCAGACTGTTAGTCTCTGGCCTCTCAGGCAGATGCACCCCGACCTCGAAGGAAATACCCCTAAGTAGTCATCTTTTACAATAGGCTTGTTAGGATGCAGTAGGTCAATTCTTTGATCCAGCCCAAAATGGGCTCCAGAACCCAGACAAGGAATAACAGATTCAATGGCTACTTTGGCAGAATAACAGATTCAATGATTATTTTGGCAGAATAACAGATTCAATGTTTACTTTGGCAGAATAATAGATTCAATGTTTACTTTGGCAGAATAATAGATTCAATGATTATTTTGGCAGAATAACAGATTCAATGTTTACTTTGGCAGAATAACAGATTCAATGTTTACTTTGGCAGAATAACAGATTCAATGATTATTTTGGCAGAATAACAGATTCAATGTTTACTTTGGCAGAATAATAGATTCAATGTTAACTTTGACAGAATAATAGATTCAATGTTTACTTTGGCAGAATAACAGATTCAATGATTACTTTGACAAAATAACAAGATTCAATGGCTACTTTGGCCAAATAAAACATTCAATGGCTACTTTGGCCAAATAAAACATTCAATGGTTACTTTCGCAGAATAACAGATTCAACGGTTACTTTGGCAGAATAACAGATTCAATGGTTCCTTTGATAAAATAACAGATTCAACGGTTACTTTGGCAGAATAACATATTCAATGATTACTTTGGCAGAATAACAGATTCAATGGTTACTTTGGCAGAATAACAGATTCAATGGTTCCTTTGATAAAATAATAGATTCAACGGTTACTTTGGCAGAATAACAGATTCAATGATTACTTTGACAAAATAACAAGATTCAATGGTTAATTTGGCAGAATAACAGATTCAATGGTTACTTTGACAGAATAACAAGATTCAATGTTTACCAGAATAACAGATGCAATGGTTACTTTGGCAGAATAACAGACTGTAGTTGCTGTTAAATTAGCAAAATAATATACTACAGTAACTATTATATTAGCAAAATAATAGACTGTGGTGGCTGTTAATTTAACAGAATAATAGACTACAGTAACTGCAGGAGAACATCAGGAGAATAACAGATTGTAGCAACTGTTACATTATAATAACTGACTGTAGTAACTTACATTAGCAGAATCAGTGACTGTAATAACATTACTATAGTAGAAAAATATACCCTAGCCATCAATAAATGGGAGATAAGGAAATGAAGAAAATAATATGCCAAATTGAACAACTTTACCTGCTGTCCTTGGCCCCTTCTTCAAAATCACATACGAGTATCTGGCATTTCTCATGGCTTTCTCTGCCTGAAATATTATTATTATTAAAGGTAAGCACAGAAACATCAGAAAGAGACAGTCGTAATTGTTTTGTTCATGTTAAAAAAGTGACAGTGGCACATGTTGTGACCACGGGAAAGATCTGTGGAAAGAGAGACAGAGGAAAACAACTTGAGAAGATTCTTGACAAACTGATACACGCAGATTGTGGAGAGGTGTGATCGCATACGCGAGTCGGCAGGGCACCTGAAGATAATGAAGCATAGTCCAATATATATATATAAGAAGTACAAGTGTGTGTGCATGTGGTGGCGCGCGCACACATACACACCCCTACATAAGTACAAATTATTCATAATAAAAAAAAAAAAAAAAAGAAATTACAATTTTAAAAAATACACACAAACTGTAAAAGTAAAAGATATTTTTCACGCCAGGTGTGTGGAGGTATTTGATGTTAAAATCATATTTTTTTTTTATAGACCAGCTGGCACTCGAAGGGTGATGTGGCCGCCTTTACTTCCCAGGACTTTACCCAGTGCCCAATTTGGCTTGATCGACCAGGAAGCGGTGGGTGATATGTCCAACATCATGACGGCCGCCTTTACCTCCCAGGGCTTTACCCAGTGCCCAATTTGGCTTGATCAACTGGAAGCGGTGGGTGATATGTCCAGCATCACGCCGGCCACCTTTACCTCCCAGGACTTTACCCAGTGCCAAATTTGGCTTGATCAGCTGGAAGCGGTGGGTGATATGTCCAGCATCACGCCGGCCACCTTTACTTCCCAGGACTTTACCAAGTGCCCAATTTGGCTTGATCAACCTGGTAGCCATGATCATTTTTAAAAATCATCATCATCATCATAAACCACTACTGCCGCTAAGTCATGGGGAGGAGTAATTTGCGATCCAGTACACGCTGGCTGCAACTGGCTATTGTCATGTCGTAAAGGCGTAGAATTTCTTTAATGTTGTCGATCCATATATCCATGGCTGTCCTCTTGCTCTTGTAGCTTTTTGAAAATTAAAAAAATAATACTGATTTATGAATCGACATTATAGCACACTGGGTATACCCGTAGGTGCTCCGTCTCCCGCAGGAAATGTCTTGAGCTGTTCCAGTAGCAAACTGACTATAAACCCGTCATTTTCTTCCTTCCATACATCTCTCCTTGCCCGATCCACACCTAATTCCTCACTCACATGTTCTTAAATCAGTAGAGAAACAAGATTATTATGGCGTGGAGAGACTGAGGCACTTGCGTGTAACCAGAGGGTCTGGCCGGCTCACTACACTCAGAGGCAAGGCAAGAGGGACATATAACCAGATTGTGACCTGTACCATCAGTATTGGACCTCTGCTCTGGCTGCTAAGGATGAGAACGGAGCACACATGGGAATGCCCCAAGTGCTATGATGTCAACTCAACTCACATATCCTTCTTACACATGTCATTTCATCTGCCCGCATGCCTTCTATCAGCAGTCGTTCATAAACGGTCTTCAGAATGTCTTCTTTGTCCAGTACGAGTATTCCTGAAGCTATTGATTTTGTAGCCAGAAAATCTGCTCTTTCATCTCCTCGTACACCTGTATATCCCTTAATGTTGAAATGCTGATGCTAGGTATCCACTCGTGCCACCTTAGTGGAGCCAAGAACTGTGCCACCTGAGTGGAGCCAAGAACCGTGCCACCTTAGTGGAGCCAAGAACCATGCCACCTTAGTGGAGCCAAGAACCGTGCCACCTTAGTGGAGCCAAGAACCGAGCCACCTTAGTGGAGCCAAGAACCATGCCACCTTAGTGGAGCCAAGAACCGTGCCACCTTAGTGGAGCCAAGAACCGAGCCACCTTAGTGGAGCCAAGAACCATGCCACCTTAGTGGAGCCAAGAACCGTGCCACCTTAGTGGAGCCAAGAACCGTGCCACCTTAGTGGAGCCAAGAACCGTGCCACCTTAGTGGAGCCAAGAACCATGCCACCTTAGTGGAGCCAAGAACCGTGCCACCTTAGTGGAGCCAAGAACCGTGCCACCTTAGTGGAGCCAAGAACAATGCCACCTTAGTAGAGTCAAGAACCGTGCCACCTTAGTGGAGCCAAGAACCGAGCCACCTTAGTGGAGCCAAGAACCATGCCACCTTAGTGGAGCCAAGAACCATGCCACCTTAGTGGAGCCAAGAACCATGCCACCTTAGTGGAGCCAAGAACCGTGCCACCTTAGTGGAGCCAAGAACCGAGCCACCTTAGTGGAGCCAAGAACCGTGCCACCTTAGTGGAGCCAAGAACCATGCCACCTTAGTGGAGCCAAGAACCATGCCACCTTAGTGGAGCCAAGAACCGTGCCACCTTAGTGGAGCCAAGAACCATGCCACCTTAGTGGAGTCAAGAACCGAGCCACCTTAGTGGAGCCAAGAACAATGCCATCTTAGTGGAGTCAAGAACCATGCCACCTTAGTGGAGCCAAGAACCATGCCACCTTAGTGGAGCCAAGAACCGTGCCACCTTAGTGGAGCCAAGAACCGTGCCACCTTAGTGGAGCCAAGAACCGTGCCACCTTAGTGGAGCCAAGAACAATGCCACCTTAGTGGAGTCAAGAACCGCGCCACCTTAGTGGAGCCAAGAACCATGCCACCTTAGTGGAGCCAAGAACCGTGCCACCTTAGTGGAGCCAAGAACCGTGCCACCTTAGTGGAGCCAAGAACCATGCCACCTTAGTGGAGCCAAGAACCATGCCACCTTAGTGGAGCCAAGAACCATGCCACCTTAGTGGAGTCAAGAACCATGCCACCTTAGTGGAGCCAAGAACCGAGCCACCTTAGTGGAGCCAAGAACCATGCCACCTTAGTGGAGCCAAGAACCGAGCCACCTTAGTGGAGCCAAGAACCGAGCCACCTTAGTGGAGCCAAGAACCATGCCACCTTAGTGGAGCCAAGAACCATGCCACCTTAGTGGAGCCAAGAACCATGCCACCTTAGTGGAGTCAAGAACCATGCCACCTTAGTGGAGCCAAGAACCATGCCACCTTAGTGGAGCCAAGAACCATGCCACCTTAGTGGAGTCAAGAACCATGCCACCTTAGTGGAGCCAAGAACCGAGCCACCTTAGTGGAGCCAAGAACCATGCCACCTTAGTGGAGCCAAGAACCAAGCCACCTTAGTGGAGCCAAGAACCGAGCCACCTTAGTGGAGCCAAGAACCATGCCACCTTAGTGGAGCCAAGAACCATGCCACCTTAGTGGAGCCAAGAACCATGCCACCTTAGTGGAGCCAAGAACCGAGCCACCTTAGTGGAGCCAAGAACCATGCCACCTTAGTGGAGCCAAGAACCAAGCCACCTTAGTGGAGCCAAGAACCGAGCCACCTTAGTGGAGCCAAGAACCATGCCACCTTAGTGGAGCCAAGAACCATGCCACCTTAGTGGAGCCAAGAACCGAGCCACCTTAGTGGAGCCAAGAACAATGCCACCTTAGTGGAGTCAAGAACCATGCCACCTTAGTGGAGCCAAGAACCGTGCCACCTTAGTGGAGCCAAGAACCATGCCACCTTAGTGGAGCCAAGAACCGTGCCACCTTAGTGGAGCCAAGAACCATGCCACCTTAGTGGAGTCAAGAACCGAGCCACCTTAGTGGAGCCAAGAACAATGCCATTTTAGTGGAGCCAAGAACCATGCCACCTTAGTGGAGCCAAGAACCATGCCACCTTAGTGGAGCCAAGAACCGTGCTGCTGTGAATCTTTTTATTCTTAAAAGAATGGTCAGCATGTTGTTTTGTGGTAGCCTTTTATGTCATGCTTGCTAAGGAACAGCAGCTCTACACAAAAATTGGGGTACAGAATCTACACAATGGACTGCAATTAACTGCAAAGACTCATCATTATCACGTGTCATGCCAATAAGTTTTCCATCTAACAGTATCACAGGGACAGGCAAGGAACCAACAGTCCGCATACACATAAGCCAGGTCTAGAAAACAGATGTGCAGGCAAAACAAGTTCTGCAACAAGACTAAAGTCCAGAATTGGATGAACAGCCAGAACTTTCTGCTGGAGTTTACAGCCGGTGAACACTAAGAAAGAGACGATTGACTACAACAAATCAGAGGGTCTGGCCGGCTCACTTTACTCGGAGGAAAGGCAAGGCAGACATATAACCAGATTGTGACCGGTATCATCAGTACTAGAACTCTGCACTGGCTGCTGAAGATGAGGACAGAGCATGCATGGGAATGCCCCGAGTGCCGTAATGTCAATCCTTGATTCAACTCAACTCAAATGACTACAACAACAATCTAACAAGATACATCAACAAGTAGATTACCGGTTTAGATTTGGTGAAGTCGATATCTCGGAGCACACTTTCTGTGAGACAAGGCTGGTTCTTCACTCTCAGTTTGGGGCAGGGTTTATCATGCGGGCACTGCAATAGACACAGCAATCACATTTATTTCTAAAGGTTACAGTTAAAGTTGAGAGGTCGACTTCATTGCACCGGGTTTTATCCCATATGGCTCAGTCCCTTTCCACTGAATGGCTAGCCACCCTCGGAGAGCATCACACATAGCACGAACTCTGTGGCTCTGGCAATGATCCCCAGGGATATACGCGAAAATGGCACTTTTGACCTGAATGATGCAGTCATGATAAGAACCCATGACTTTCACAGCGAAAGGCAAATGTCTTGACTACTACGCCACGGAGACCGCCTTGCTTTCTGGTAGTCTTTAGTGTTTTTCCAATATTTGTATCCTTCCTTCATTGGTGTTCACGACTGATATTATGGTTTACAGTTATAGGGCATATAGGGCTGGCCTAAATTTCATAGACCAACTGGCAATCAGTCAGCGATGTGCTCAAAATGATGGCTGCCTTTGCTACCCAGGACTGCACCTGGTACCCATTTAAAGCTGGGTTGACCTCAAAGTCAAGGTCATTTTTGAAAAAAGTATCCAGCTCTGTCGGGACTGGAACCCACGACCTTCTGATGTGCAGGTGAGCATCTAGCCAGTAGACAAGTAGCCTACACTCAAGTTTTGCCTGAAGGTATCCTATTCTGGCAAGAGCACACAATCCAGACCAGCTAAACCAAGGTCATGGACAATGACATGACCCTGACCTAGATACCAGAAGCTGATCACTAGAAAAGACAAGATTGTTCTATCCCTGTATGGGTTCCGGGGCCCTATTATAGGTAAAACAAGAATAGACCCAGCAGTCTGCACACAAATGAGTCAGATCTGTAAAACAGATGCACATGCAACACTCAGGTTCTGGAATAGGACTGCAGTCTAAGCGGATGAACAACCAGAATTTTCCACCAGAGTTTACAACTGGTGAACATGAAGAAGAAATTGTTCTAAAATGTATGGTGTTAGACATCAGTAAGACACAGCAAAAGCAGTAAAATACAGGCAGTAACTTGCAGCTTTTTCTTCTACAAATTAATACTCACAGGGGCAAAGACATGGCCAGGTGACAAGAGCTGAGTACCTTGATGAGAATTCTGAAAACAAACATAACAAATAGACAAATTCATACTGGCAACACATCAACTTTTATCAGAAGCACATGCACAACTTTCAACTAAAACAAACCCAAAAAAACTTCTAACAAATGAATTTTTCTTCTTATTCTACTTCTTCAGCATTCCAAGCCCTTGACGTTCACTACCGCAGATATCCTCCACCTTCATTCACCTCCGTGACTGGTCTTCCCTTTCCAGTCGGTGACTCCAAGTATCTGTATCTTTGTATACTATTTACAAGGTGCAATTTTTCATTAATATTAAGATAAAAAAATAAAAACCATCATTTTTAAAAAAAAAACGGTTTAATGTAGCCAAAAAATGAAACAAAAATTTACATTATTTCTCAACATAGTCAACATTGACTTCAAACACATTTTTGGTATAGTGGCACTAGGTTCTTAATTCCAATGTCATAGAAGTCTGCCGTCAGTGTCTTGAACCATTCATTAACACTTGTCTACAGTTCAGCATCAGTTTCAAACCACTGGGACGCCAGCTACTTCTTTAGGTGCATGAAAATGTGGTAATCAGTTGGCACCTCTACCCCCGTGTGGGTTTCGGGGCCCCATTGTAGGGGAAAACAAGAATAGACCCACTGCCTCTCTAAAAGCATGTCGTAAGAGTCGACTAATTGGGGAGCTTCCTTTGAAGTCAGAGTGTATTTACCGGACAGGCAAGGAACCAACAGTCTGTATTCAAGAGAATGAGATCTGTAAAACTGCACACGCAACACTCAGGTTCTGGAGAAGGACTGCAGTTCAGTAGTGGACGAGCAACCAGAACTTTCCGCCAGAGTGTACAGCTGGTGAACGCAAAGAAGAAGTTGGCACCAGATCGGAGCTGTAGGACTGGTGGTCAAAAATTTCCCTAGTTCAAGAAAATCCATAAACTAGAGCCCCTTTTTTTTTGGTCCCAGAAAACAGCGGCAGTTATCTTTTTGACAGAAGGTGCTTAAACTTCTTTGCTTTTGGGGACCACGAGTATCGCCATTGCATCAATTGTTGCTTTGATTCGATGTTAACATAGGAAATCCAGGTCTCATCTCCAGTAACAATGTGCTCCTAAATTTCATCTCCTTCATTATGATAGTGCTCCAAAATTTCATCTCCTTCACTATGATAGTGCTGCAAAAACTGTTGAGCTAAAGCCAGGTGTTTCTGCTTGTGTTCATCGGTTAACATTTTTTACCCATCTGGCACACAGTTTTTTTGTGTATCCAAGGTTTCTTCATCATGGATATTTGTTCACCCTTCCTTAAACATTCAACACCATTTCCTAACCAAACTATCAGTCACAACATCTGGCATCTAAACCACCTGCCTGTGAATTTCTGTAGCACAACTGTTTTTTTTTTTTTTTTTTTTGCTTTAAAAAAATGGATCCCAGCACAAACCTCACAACTGGTGCAAGTATTTATTTTTGCACTCATTATAAATAACTCATTTGCAGCATCAAATGAGACTTTAATAGTGAAAAAAAAAACAGCACATAGCTAGCTAATAAACCACATAAATATACTGCATATGCACAGTTACGTTTTCCATCTGTGTTTGTTGCTGCGGTCAAAAGAGGACTTACTTAAAAAAATATGCCTCGTATTATCTTTCCACTATCCTCCTTATCTACCATGTTCTCTATATTTCTCAACTACTGCAGTCTATTAGTCGTCACGATGCCAATAAATAGTGGTGATTTGAACAGATTTTGAATCTCCTCACTGTATTCTCCGTAGCGATAATAAATCCCATGCCGGCTTGCTAGGCCTGTTGCAGCTTCACCTAAGCCCCTTCTGAGAATGGCTGCAGGGGTGCCCGAAGAGATCAAATCACGAATGAGGTCATAAGAGAAACTTTCAGCACAGAATCAATTCTAAATTACAAAGTCATCAAATAAAATGGTCTGCAGCACTTACCAGGAGAATGAAATCTTTGGCTTCATTTACTACGCTAAAACCTGCTCCTGTTCCAATCTCGACCAGAATCTGTAAGAAAGAATACAGGACTTCAAGGTAACTCTTCAATTAGGGAAGATTGAATTAAAGGACTCATTCCATTTGGCATACAAGGTCAAGAGGCGTAGACAAACATGGTTCACCTTCCTACATGATCTCTTGAATCAGTGATCAGGTGGTGGTCTGAGTGACATCTCAAATTCTGCTATAAAATCTTGCTTCGGTGATCAAACCAGCCGTTACTCCCTGGAAATTTCATTCACAGTTCTGGTGTTCTCAGTCCAGGACGGTCAATATTCAACCCAGTTATATATGTCCGGCGCTCCAGCGTAGTTGATAGCATGCTGAACGTCAGGTGACAACTCCCACGTGTGCCAGGTCTCGGATTCGAGCTGGAGGATGGCAGAAAAGCTGCACAGTCCCAAGATTAAGGGTGTATGTGGCACCGAGGCTAAAGAGCTTCGATGCTCACAACCCCGAGTCAAATGGGCTATGCTCAAGTGCCTCTGGTTCAGAAAAAACTCAGTTATATTCCATTTGGGAGTTGCCGTGGCGTAGCAGCTAGATGGTTGCCTGCGGATGGGAAGGTCGTGGGTTCAGGTCCTGACAGTACCGGACCTTTTTTTTCTCTCCAAAAATGACCTTGGCTCCCAGGTCGACCTAGCCTTGAGTGGGTTCCAGCTGCAGTCTTTGGAAGTAAAGGGGGCCGGCGTGATGCTGACCACATCACCCACCAAGTGCCGATTGGTCTATAAAATGTAGGTCTAGCCCTATGTGCCCAATAAGCCTAAAGGTGTGGAAAAGGGACCTTTACTTGCTTTACTTATATTCAATTTAATTTATTTTAATTTAATTTAATTTAATTAACTTGTTTATATTTCTCTCACTGTTTTTTTTTTAAAAACTCCTTACTTATTTCATTTCGTAATATGGTTGGTTCTTCATGTCCATATTTCTCCCCATTATATGTTTCTTGGTTTTTTATTGATCTTGGTTGTTTAGAAGCTCTGTTGTTTTGTCCGTTGAATTTCCCAGTCGGTCTGTGTTACTGTATTTATTACTGCTGATCACGACTGTTGTTGAAACATTTGTATTTGTGCCCGTCTGTTCCACTTACTCCGCTGAGCGCTCTAGTTTTGTTATGTTGTATTAAACACTTTTTAGTACTTATCAATCTTACCTTTTGTTTTGTTTCCATCAAGCATTGCCAGCTGTCATTAAACATGGTTCACCTTGCCATATGATCACCTGAATCACAGATCAGGTCAGTGTTCTTGTCCTGCCTCACCCCCATACAGCCAAGCCATCCGGGTATTTATCTACGTTCCCCTTGCTTTTTTCCCCTAAGCTTGCCAGCTGTCACCATATACTGTTCTAGAACCATATTTTATAGACTTATTGGCACTCGATAGGTGACTGGTCAACATATCGGCTGCTTTTACTTTCTGAGATATTTCCTGAAAACTGTTTTAGGCTGGGAAGTGGGAGGACTACAATCAAGATCATCATCATCATGTGCCCTGCCGACTGATGTAGGTGCTCATGTGTTTCCACGGATCATGATCCCTGGTTGCCTGGAACAGCTCTCTTGAGGATATCCCTTCATGCCATTGTTTCAGCACATACAGCATCGTCTCTCTTGGTCTACCTCTACAACTTTTTCCACTGATTTTTCCAGTTGTCATGATGTTCTCCAATGTCTCTCTTCTCATTATGTGACCAAAGACAGTGTTTGTCTCTTTCTTATTGTTGTATGTATGGTATTGTATGGTGAGATTGATGCAGTTAGGGGTGACGAGAGGTTCTGGCAGAAACTCAAGGCTCAGAGGAAAGGCAAGACGGACGTTTAATCAGAAAGCTACTGGCACCATTAGTATCGGAACTCTTCGCTGGCTGCTGAAGATGGGAACAGAGTGCTTATGGGAATGCCCCGAGTGCTGTGATGTCGGTTCTTGAATCAAATCAAAATCAGATCATTATTGTTGTATATAGAGATCTACTTTCCATTAGCCAGGACTACAATAGGGGTGAAGAAATGAGAGAAATGTCTGGGCAACCACTTGTATCAACAGTTATAGAACAGAAGAAATGAGAGAAATGTCTGGGCAACCACTTGTATCAACAGTTATAGAACAGAAGAAATGAGAGAAATGTCTGGGCAACCACTTGTATCAACAGTTATAGAACAGAAGAAATGAGAGAAATGTCTGGGCAACCACTTGTATCAACAGTTATAGAACAGAAGAAATGAGAGAAATGTCTGGGCAACCACTTGTATCAACAGTTATAGAACAGAAGAAATGAGAGAAATGTCTGGGCAACCACTTGCATCAACAGTTATAGAACAGAAGAAATGAGAGAAATGTCTGGGCAACCACTTGCATCAACAGTTATAGAACAGAAGAAATGAGAGAAATGTCTGGGCAACCACTTGTATCAACAGTTATAGAACAGAAGAAATGAGAGAAATGTCTGGGCAACCACTTGTATCAACAGTTATAGAACAGAAGAAATGAGAGAAATGTCTGGGCAACCACTTGGATCAACAGTTATAGAACAGAAGAAATGAGAGAAATGTCTGGGCAACCACTTGCATCAACAGTTATAGAACAGAAGAAATGAGAGAAATGTCTGGGCAACCACTTGCATCAACAGTTATAGAACAGAAGAAATGAGAGAAATGTCTGGGCAACCACTTGTATCAACAGTTACAGAACAGAAGAAATGAGAGAAATGTCTGGGCAACCACTTGCATCAACAGTTATAGAACAGAGGAAATGGTGTTGTACTGGACACAGACTGAGGAGAGTTGAGCAGAGAATCACCAAACAAGCATTTGGGAAACAAGGTCAAAACCCTTAAGTGAACGTTGATGAAAGAAGCCAAAGTGGCTAGACAGGGTTCCGTCAATGAATGCATAGGATAGAATGGAATGGAGAAAAGACTGCGAGCCCTATGTGACATATAATGGCATGGCATGAGAACAAATGTTACATACGTACAACTCCCTGTGTGGGTTCCAGGGCCCTTTTGTAGGGAAATAGACTCACTGCCTATCCAACAAGCATGTCCTAAGAGTCCACTTATTGGGAGCTTCCTTCAAAGTCAGAGTGCCCCTGCCTGAGAGGCAAAGAACCAACAGCTGAATGCAAATGAGTAACACCTGTAAAACCGAAGCCCACACAACACTCATGTTCTGAAAAAAGACAAGAGTCCAAAAGTGGATGAACAACCAGAACTTTCCGCCTGAGTCTACAGCCAGTGAACACACAAAAAAGACATACATACAACAAATGTTACGCACATAAAGCCACACACACAAAATTACAACATGATACAAATGTTACAAATACAAAAACAAGTGCTACATGCTGAAACAAATGTTACATACCAAGTAGTTTTCCGCCATTTCCCACAGATCCTTCACTAGCTGCAGCCGGTCAACTTGCGTCTGCTGCTCCATCAACATGTGGGCGCTGACCACCATAGAAAACTTGTGCTGGAGACAGGGAATGAAACAAACATTACAACATTTGCCACATCATCTTCTTCTTCTTCGTGTTCACCAGCTGGAAACTCTGGCAGAAAGTTCTGGTTGTTGGCCAACTTCTTTTCGACATATCTGGTTAATTATTGTGCAGACTGATGCTTGCTTACCTGGCAAGTCGTGAGAGGCCACTAAGGGTAGGGTTTGGCTTGAGTCTGGCTACCTCATCCTGTAAAATCAATTGCCACAAAAGGCAACCAACCATGGATAAGTCAAAAAGAGAAACAAGAAAAACAGAGCTAACCAACGTGAGGGGGTGGGGGGGTGGGGGGGGGGGGGGGGGAGCTCTTCTAGTAGAAGAGTTATGATGCTGTTTGGAGAAAGCCGAAAGAGGTGCGGATCGTCAATGTACCTCCTCTCACCTAGGAAAACCTCCAGAACTGGCACCTGGAATGTTAGAACTTTGTTGAATGTAGGGAGAACAATGGATGTAGAAAGGGAAATGAAACATTATAGGATTAGTATTTTAGGATTATGTGAAACTAGATGGACCGGGCAGGGGAAAAGTATTCTGAATTCAGGGGAAACTATTTCGTTCTCGGGACATACAGAGGAAAATTTTCCCTACAGTAAAGGAGTGGCCCTGATGATAGCGAAAGAAGCAAAGAGGGCACTAACAGAATGGAGAGACAAACTGAGAACAATACAACTAGAATGTCTTTACACCGAAACCCCAGGGGCATAGAAATAAAGGAAGACCCAAAAACACATGGAGAAGTGAGCTAGAGAGCGAAATTAAAAAGACAGCGAGGACCTGGGGAGAGCTGCGTGCAACAGTGAAGGATAGAACGACTGGCCTGAGTTAGCTGAGGGCCTATGCTCCACAGGGGGTTAGAAAGGCAGAAGAAGAAGAGATGCTTTCTTGCCTCCTAAGCAGAAGTACTCTGACTATGAAGGAATCTCTAAAAGTGTGGCCTGGGGATTCACATGGGGCAAGCCTACATTCAATAATGTTCTCTCCATTGATTTTAGGCCGTTCAGTACCAAGCAGTCCAATGCAATGCCTTGAAGAAGAAAGCTGGTCGATCTCAACTAAGATTTGTACAGCCCCATGTTGGTGAGCCCCTTCTGAACCCTAAGAACTCTCAGGTCAATGGAGTCAGCTTTGGATTACACGCAGTACTTTTTCTTTGCATTCACCGGATGTTGACTGTGGTGGAAAGCTCTGGGTATTCATCCACTTCAGGACTGTGCATGGACATCCATGTTACTCTTCTTCTTCTGCTTCGTTTGCCAGCTCTAAGCTCTAGCAGAAAGTCCTGGCTGTTCATCCATTTGGACTTTGGCTTCGTGCCAGGGCCTGGGCTTTAGTGTGAACATCAGTTTTACTGGCTTATTTGTGTGCAGATGGTTGTTCCCTGCCGCTCAGGCAGATGCACTCCGACTGCAAAGAAAGCTTCCAATTAGTTTACTCTTATGATATACTTTTAGGGAGGCAGTGGGTCTATTCGGGAGTCTTCGTGGCGGAGCGGCTAGATGCTTGCCTGCGCATCTGAAGATCGTGGGTTCGCTTCCTAGCGGAGCCAGCCTTTTTGTCAAAAATAACCTTGGCTCCCAGGTGGACCCTCCTTGAGTGGGTACCGGGCGCAGTCCCAGGAAGTAAAGGCAGCCAGCGTGATGCTGACCACATCACCCATCTTGTGCCAATTGGTCTATAAAATATAGGTCTAGCCCTATATGCTTAAGGGCGTGGAAAAGGGTCTTTTACTTTTTAATAGGTCTATTCTTATCTTTCCTAGAATGGGACCTTGCAACTCACATAGGGAAGATTACAAACAGTACAAGTCAGACAAAAAAGAGTATCGATTGGTCTACAAAATTATAGGGTCTTACACAATATGCTCGACATGCCACTGTCGTGAAAATGGTCCTCAACTTTCACTTTATCATCATCATCGTGCAGCAAGTCCTTTGCAGAATCTTGCTCTTCCATGTGTGGGTTCTGGGGTCTCACTGACCACATCTTCAATCGAAGGCCAAATGGTCTACACACACACAAATATTATACTAACATACGCCCAATTTGCCACTGGCGGGAAAAGAAATCTTTACCTTACACAAAGCCTGAATACTTCTCCACAGACACCATCATCATCTATCTTAACTTGTCTTACCTCCTTAGGGCTGGGCAGGAACTGTCGGAAATGAACTCCACTTATACAAGACACATTCTTTTGTTCATTGCCATCTGAAAGTTTGGAAATACACTAGATTTGTTTTTTTTTTTATCAATCAAGTCTTTCTTTCTTCTGTTCTCCTCCTCCTCCCCCCTCCCCCCACCCCTTCCTGTAAAAGGTGACTCAGTTGTGACCCTGTGACCTCTATCACTGGGGCTTATAAGGAACTCTGACACTAACGGCTTTAAAAAAGCTATCTGGCTTAAAGGAACCTCCTCCCTCCCCCCGCCCCCCAATGCTGTTTCTAGTTAATGTCTTCATATGCTAACCTGTTAAAAGTTTGCGCATTTGCAAACCCAGGCAGTACCATTAACTATGCATCTTATAAACAGGTCATAACAGACAAGTCGTAAAAGTGACACAAGGATGTGTCAGTTTTGTGGTTTCTCTATGCCAGTGGCTCTGAACCTTTCTAACACGGCGATCCTTTAATACAGTTTCTCATACTGTGGCGACCCCGAACCGCACAGTTATTTTTTGTTGCTACTTTAAAACTTCAGTAAATATGTGTTTTCCGGTGGTCTTTTGAGACCCCTGTAAAAGGATAATTCAACCCACAAAAGGTTCGCAACCCACAGGTTGAGAGCCACTGATCTAGGCAAATGGGGGGATGCTGTTATATAGACTCAAAACCAAAGTTCTTTCTTTACGACGCCTGTAATGCAAAGTCTCCTTTTCCTCTTCAATCTTAGAAACCACTGGGGTGTGCAAGACTAGATCTACATATTTTTGAAGAGTGATAGTGAGATGTAAACATGTAATAATCATCATCATCTTCTGCGTTCTCCCTTAACAGGGCACTTGACATGCTATGTTGTGGTTTACAGCTAGGATGCAAAATCTGTGCCTTTCGGTAAAACACATTCAATTTCAGCAAACATATAGTCACTTTTAACATGATGCCGGTTGAAGGGAAGTGGGTCTTGTATCCCCCTACATGGGATCCCAGAACCCATATGGGGTCCTAAAACCCATATGGGGGTGAACAGACTAACATAAGGCCCAAAAAGGGGAGGGGAAAAAAGCCAACAAATGTCAAGATGGTGGAGACAGCAGGGAAAAAACAAAAACAATCCCCTCTGACCTTGCAACAAAAGTTGGGCAATGGTGTTCATATGTCCGGAATCTTCCACACAGTAATGCTCGCCGATTGTTTGCCAGATTTTGTCTGCAGCCCTGTAAAACAAACATAAAACCAAGGGTAAATATGAAAGCTGTATCACTGCTCCATGCATTAACCAAGTGATCTTTTTGTTTACATGAAATATTCAATCTGTCAATCATTGACTTAGAATTTTTTGGTTAACTCCTTCAGCACCAAACAACGCCTGGTATGTAAATGACTTTACCCCTTGATTTCACTCCTTAGGAGTACACAAAATTCAAGATAGGCGTATCAGCCATGTGCACCTGTGGAAAGGTGCCCCAGACAGCAGAGCATGTACTCCAGGACTGCACCAAATTTTGACACATTAAGGCAAACCTTTTGGCCAGAAAGAACAACAGTGGAACGTAAACTCTATGGACCACTGAATGAATTAACAACAACAGTGAAATTTATACAAGAGACAAAATTGCTGATATAGACAACTTCTGATATAGACAACTTCTGATATAGACAACTTCTGATATAGACAACTTATTTCAGGCGAACGAAAGAAGTAGACTCCTTAGGATAATGTGCTCTCATACTTTTTATATCTGGTCAGAACATACTAAAGAAATCTGGCTTCGATGTTTTATATTTGGTTAGAACATACAAAAGAAATCTGGCTGCGCTGTATATATTGACTTGCTAATTACAATTAATTTATGATTTTTAATCATGGTTTTTCATCACTTCACATATTTAACATCAATCCGTATGGTACCAAAAGAGTTAAGCATTGTGGGGAGGAACAATTTGTGGTTCCGTGCTGAGTGGGTAGTATAAATGTGCAACAGCAACAATAACAGCAGCAACAACAAATAACAAATAAAAGGCAGGTACCAAATCCCAGCTCCGACTTTAGAACCGTGGTGGAATATGGAAGTTGGTCTAAAGTTGGCATCACGTTTGGAAATCTGGAAAAGTGGCAATAATATCATTATCCACACAAAAAAACAATAATAGCAATATTATCCATAACAACAATTGGGAGGAGGTAAAGGTGGTGAAAGGAAGAAGAAAAATAAAAGGTTAGGAACAGAAGTAGTAGTATTAGACGAACATAAGAAGGTGGCAGTAGTAGCAGCAGGATCAGAGGAGAAGCAGGGGGCAGTAGCAACAGCTATAGCAGAGCAATAGTCGAAGCAGCAGAGATAGAGGAGGATGGAGCAGAAGCAGTTTAGTAGTGGTAACAGTAATAGTAGAGGTGGCTGAGAGGCAGCAGAGATAGAGGAGGATGGAGTAGAAGCAGTTTAGTAGTGGTAACAGTAATAGTAGAGGTGGTTGAGAGGTAGCAGAGATAGAGAAGGATGGAGTAGAAGCAGTTTAGTAGTGGTAACAGTAATAGTAGAGGTGGCTCAGAGGCAGCAGAGATAGAGGAGGATGGAGTAGAAGCAGTTTAGTAGTGGTAACAGTAATAGTAGAGGTGGCTCAGAGGCAGCAGAGATAGAGAAGGATGGAGTAGAAGCAGTTTAGTAGTGGTAACAGTAATAGTAGAGGTGGCTCAGAGGCAGCAGAGATAAAGGAGTCTGGAGTATAAATAGTTTAGTAGTGGTACCGGTAATAGTAGAGGTGGCTGAGAGGCAGCAGAGATAGAGGAGGATGGAGTATAAATAGTTTAGTAGTGGTAACAGTAATAGTAGAGATGGATGGGAAGCAGCAGGAGTCAGTAGAGCAGCAACTATAGTACAACAGTGGTAGTAGAGGCAGAGGGAAAGTAGCAACAGCTGCAGTGCAACAGTAGTAGTAGCAGCATCCATGAGGGGAGGAGGGGGGAGTAGCAGCAGCAGTGTAGTAGTAGTGAAGGCAGCAAAGAAGGAGGAGGAGGGAAAAGCAGTAGCAGCTGTAGTGTAGCAGCAGGAGGAGTAGGAGTAGTAGTAGGGGTAGTAGTAGTAGGAGTAGGAGTAGTAGTAGGAGTAGTAGTATTAGTAGTAGGAGGAGGAGGAGGAGGAGCAGCAGCAGCAGCAGTAGTAGTAGATGCAGCAGAAAAAGGAGAATGTAACAGTGGCAACAACTGTAGCAGCAGCAGAGGAGGAGGAAGTAGTAGTAATTGCAGCAGTAGCAGAAGATGTTATAGTTTTATATTTAAACACCCCCCCCCCCCCCCCACCCTAAAAAATTTTTTTTACAGGAAACAAAAAAAAAAAAAAAAAACCACAAAAAACAATAGGACACCTACTTCTGTAAAGGTCTGAAACAAAACAGAGTAGTCAAATGTAGTTCTCCCCAGTAAATAAATGTACGAAGTGAAGGCATCATACCTGAAAATTAAAAAAATGTATGCAAAAATTGTAACAAACTTAATAAAAGCTTATAAAACTGAAATGTTAAAAGATTATAAATGTTAATATAAATGAATATAAATGTTAATATAAATGAACATAAGTGTTGAATATAAAAGATTATAAATATTAATTAAAGTATCTTCTTCTTTGTTCCCCGGCTGTAAGCTCTGGCGGGAAAATCCTGATTGTTCAACCATTGGGACTTTGGCTTTGTGCCAGGGCCTGAGTTTTACATGTACATCCGTTTTACTGGCTTTGTGTGTGTAGCTGGTTGTTCCTTGCCGCTTGGGCAGATTCACTCCGACTTTGAAGGAAGTCCCCAATTAGTCGACTCCTATGACATGCGTGTTGGGGAGACAGTGGGTCTGTTCTTGTTTTCCCCACAATGAGCTCTCCAGAAACCACACAGAGAGTTTTTCTATTTAATATTGCATAGATTATAAGCGATAAGTATAATCAATTATAGGATGATTGATTATAAGTGTTAACTGTAATAGCTTATAAGTGTTAAGTATAAAAGATTAGAAGTGTTACATTTGAAATATATAATTGTTAACTAAAAAAGTGTTAACTTCAAGTGTTAAGTATAAACCATTATAAATGTTGAAAATAAAAGAATATAAGTGCTTAATATGAAATATGATAAACATGTATCTTCTGCTTTGCATTTGTCCACTTATGGACAGCAGCCCGGTTCCAGAACTTGAGAGTTGCATGCGCATCTGTTTTACATATCTGACTCATTTGTATGCAGTTGGTTCTTTGCCTCTCAGGCAAATGCACTCTGACTTTGAAGGCAGCTCCCAATTAGTCGACATGCTTCTGGGTAGGCAGTGGGTTTGTTCCTGTTTTCCTCACGATAGGGCCCCACAACCAACATGGGGAATCTTATGTAAAAAAGATTACAAATGTTAATGCTTTCACTCCAGAAACACTTTAAATAAACAGGTAACGAAACTGTTGGAATTCCAGAATAAACCATTTAACAACAATTTTATATAGGTCACTAATACATTCTTTAAAAAATGTGCCATAGTGATGTGTTTACGAGAAGCACAGTTAATACTACTGGCTTAGTTCGTGCCTGCAGAGTTCGTCTGATGCAGTTATAAGTTTTATACCGTTCTTTTGTAATGACAGAGAACATGTTTATAAAAGAGAAGCCTTTAAAAAATCAACCTACCCCGTGTGGGTTCCGGGGCCCCATTGTGGGGAAAACAAGAATAGACCCACTGCCTCCCCAAAAGCATGTCGTAAGAGTCGACTAATTGGGGAGCTTCCTTTGAAGTCGGAGTGCATCTGCCGGAGAGGCAAGGAACCAACAGTCTGTATTCAAGAGAATGAGATCTGTAAAACTGATGCACACGCAACACTCAGGTTCTGGAGCAGGACTGCAGTTCAGTAATGGACGAGCAACCAGAACTTTCCGCCAGAGTGTACTGCTGGTAAACGCAAAGAAGAAGAAGAAAATCAACCATACTAACTGCATAGGTTTCCAGTGGTAGACCTGGTAGCGCAGTCTTCTGACCACCCTTTTTTTGTGTGTCTCTACCCTGGCTTCTGATTCCGCCTGACTTAATCCTTCTAGATCCAGTCCGCCTGAAAATAAGAGTTTGCAAGATATGGGGGGGGGGGGGGAGGGGGGGGGTGTCATTATTAGAGACATCTTACTGATTTTTTGGGGGGACTTAATACTTAAAAAAATATTTAAATGTTAAAATATCTAGGAAGTATATTCTCAGAGGATGGGAGAATAGATTGGGAAACAGAAACAAGGTGCCAGCAAGCCAGTGCACTAATTTACCAACTGACACAGTTGTTAAGACAAACCAAGATAGGTATCAGTGCCAAGAACAGATTATAAACAACATATTGATACCAACCCTGTGCTACCAGTGCCAGACTGGGACATTATCAAAGGCTAACCTATGTAAAAAAAAAACACCAATGTGAAAAGAGATGCCTGAGAAAAGCCGCCAGCTTAACCTCCAAGACAAAGTTAGAAATGATTTTATCAGACAGACTGTAGGAACAAAACCGTGCAGCAAATTCATTGTGAAACAGAAGCTCAGATGGTTTGATCTTTTTGTAAGAATGCAGCCAGAACAACTACCAACGCAGGCGCTACACGCAAAAAGATCTGAAGTGAAAGCAAGAGGCTGCCCTAGGAGAATATGGATTGATGATATTAAAGAGCTTCTATATCGACACGGAACGACAACAGTCAGTGCTGCCCATCAGGCATTGGATCCCAAACTTTTCCTCCCCACAATGCTTAATGGCAGACGCGGAAATTGATGAAGATGACTACAAAGTTAACCTTCTTTTATAAAAGAGGTGACGGCCTGGAGACAACTAATCACGAAGATCAGAAGGAGATAGCCGTCGTATATTGGCCATGTTATTCTCCTTGTGTTCACCAGCTGTAAACTCCAGAGGAAAGTTCAGGTTGTTCATCCACTTCTAGACTTTAGTCTTGTTCCAGAACTTGTTTTGCCTGGACATCCATTTAATTGTCTCAGTTGTGCGCAGACTGCTGGTTCCTTAACTCTCAGGCGGATGCGGGTCACCTTTGAAAAAACCCGAATTAGTTGACACCCATGACATGCTTGTTGGGGCCAGCAGGTCTTTTTTTTTAATTTTTTGTTAACTTCCAGAATGGGGCCTAGAAACCCACAAAGGGATTTTTATCTATTGAAATGCAGCTAATAAGTCTTTATTACCTGATTGTACAACTTTTTGGGAGTCGCCGCGGTGTATCAGCTAGACACTAGCTTGTGAATCGGAAGGCTGTGGGTTCAGTTCCTGACAGAACAGGGCTTTCTTCAACCTTGAGTGGGTACCAGGTGCAGTCCTGGGAAGTAAAGGCGGCTGGTGTGATGCTACCCACATCACCCTCCAAGTGCTAACTGGTCTTTGATTTACAGGTCCAGCCCTATATGCCTAAAGGAGTGGAAAATGGTCCTTTACTTCACCTTTTGTACCACTTTTTAGGGCGGTGAAGGACAGGGGCGGCTTGATCTTCTTCAGAGTCACATAAGCTGGCCAGTGCACTCGCCACAAACTGTGCATATTAGGATTTAACTTTGTCCCCGACAGGAAAAAACCCCAAAGCAATCTTTCCCCTGCTGTGAATTTCAACAAAGAAAAGACAAACAACAAATTGCACAATTTATTGACTGGCATATTTCGCTGTATCTCATCAAGGTGCATTCTACAGTAACAACTGATTAAAATGAAGCAAATAAATGAATCCTGTGAACTGAAACACAAAATCTACAAAAATGATTGTTGGTTTGTGTTTCAGTTCACAGGATTCATGTATTTGCTTCATTTTAATCAATTGTTACTGTAGAATGCACCTTGATGAGATACAGCGAAATATGAAAGTAAAGCAAAGGTCCCTTTTCCATTCCTTCAGGTGTATTGGGCATATAGGGCTAGACCTATATTTTTATAGACCAATCTGCACTTGGTGGGTGATGTGGTCAGTATCCCGGCCGCCTTTACTTCCCCCTGACTGCACCTGGTACCCGCTCAAGGCTGGGTCGACCTGGGGGTCAAGGTCATTTTTGAAGAGAAAAAAATCGGGCTCCCTCAGGATGTGAATCCATGACTTTCCGATCCGCAGG